ACAGTTCCCCTGCACACCACCAGGTGCCAGGCAGGGACAGCAGTGGGGATGGCCGGAGCCTGCAGCCCCGGACAAGGCTTCAGCTTTGTCTGAATTGAGATCTTTATTCAGGCTGTCATCTCTGTCTCTGAGCTTGTGTTAAGACCTTGTGGGCTCTATTTCCACCCCCATAGGTTGAGCCCAGGACCCTGGAATTTCATGCCCTTCCACATCCTCCTGCCTTATCCCCACAGTACTGGGACTTTTCTTGTTGTTTCTAATAGACTATTTAGGGTTTGGAGAAAGTCTTGAATGACCCAGCGCTTATGTGGGATCTGTGTTCACTTTGCCCTATCCTTGGCTTGGATCTGCTCGTGTGATTGATTACTTAGGGCAAGGCCTTCCACCCTCAAGCTACGCTGGTCTGATCCTCTTTCCGGACCTCAGAATCCATAGATTTGGCTATGATGTCTCACCTGCATTGCTGGGCTTCCTCACTGCTCAGCTTCTAAGAGGCAAGAAGGCAACAGAGCAGAGAGGTTGTGCCTGCAGCCGTCAGAACCGTGTTGCCTGGGCTCAAGGCAGGACTCTACTGCCTGCTAGTGGTGTGGCCCTGAGCAAGTGGCTGAACAGCCCTGTCCCCACTTCTAAAGGGAAGGCTAGCAGTAGTCCTTACCATGAGAAAGGGGTGTGAGGATTGGAAAGATAACGCATGAAACATCGCCTGTGTTCTGTGGCTTACCACATGGTAGCACTTGGTAAATGTGAGCTCCTGTTTATATATGTAACTGGACTCACATATATAATCTTAATTGCCCCAAACACAGACATACGTTCCAGTGATGCTGGCCTCCTCCTTCCTTCACCAAGAACAGCCCATGCTCAGCCCCAGTTTTGTGCCCATAAACGTCCTCCCACCTCCTGTGCAGCTACTCGCACTCCCCCATCCCGGGCCCAGCTAGAGCGCCGCCCCCTCCCAGAGCCTGCCCACGCGGATCTCCTCCTCCTTGCCTCTTGTGCTTCTAGCCAGTGCCTTGAAATCTGACATTTAAGTCACAGAATTACAGAATATAAGAGCTGGAGGCGCCCTTAGAAATGACCTCTGTCAGCTGCTCTTAGCTGGGAATGGTTAGTAAGCAGCCAGCGTGTTGTCACGGCCCCCTGCGGCCCCCATCAGAGGCATCACCGACTGACCACCTCTAGCCTGCCACGCCCACACCCTGCCTCGGAATCCTTCTCAACACAGTGCTCCAGGGGGTCAGTATAATCAGTCAGAGGTGCCTCTCTCAGCCATAATCCGGACAATGGGAAGTTATCGATAACTTACTTGGAGGTGGCTGGAGCGTTTAGGGGTGCAGGGACCTGCTTCAGGCCCCAGGCGCTGGGCTAGAACGTGGGTCTAACCTCTCTCCACTGCTCCTTCTACCATAGCAGTGGCCTCTTTAATTGCCTGATTGTTGTCTGTCTGTTAGTCTTGCCTTCCCAATTACAGCTGGGGCGTTCGGGAGCGTGTCTTCCCAGCAATGGGCACAAAACGGGACACTTCCCGCGCTCACCCGCTGCTGGATTGACTGCCTGGGGCTTCCTCTGTCCCTCTAATTGTCTTCAGAGCTCACTCAAGGGGCCGGGGACCAGGGTTCGGGGCAGCTCCGTCTCTCTGCTGCCCAGGGCTGCCCACAGCTCCCCGCCCTCCTCTCTGCACCCGCAGCCACAGCTGTCGTGAGCACTGGAAAGGCGAGACACGCCTGGCTGCCAGGAGCTTGGGAAGGTGCTCTTGGTCCTGGGGCTTGTCTGCTTGGACTCCTCGGGGGGCCTTCCTCCTTCTTCCTTCTGCCGTCGTCCATTCCACTCGGGGGCTGGGGTGAAAGGAGAGAGAACCAGGGCAGTGGATGCCCACCCCCCTCGGGCACCGAGGGGCGGTGAGGCTGTCTTGAAGGGCGGCCTTTGTGGGGGCAGGGGTCTGGAGGGCCTGGCTCACGTCCAGACTTCGGAGGTGCTTCCCCCAGGTGGGGCCCCGGGGACACTGTTCCCACGTGGAGCCTTCTCTTCATCAGCTGTTGAGAGGTGGCATCACCATCCACCCACGCCCACACGCTGGAAACTTCAGGGTCCCCTGGCTGACCCTGTGCCTGCCCCTTCCGCCCCCCACCCCTCAGCGGGTTCTCTGGATCTCTTTTTGCCAAGCCCCTTGAACTTGTGCCGTCCTCCTGGTCCCGCTGCTATCCAAGCCTCCCTCCCACCCTGTCACGCTTATCTGTGGATCTGCCGTCACAGAGCTCTCTAGTCGCATCACAACTGTGCCAGAATTTTATTCTAAAACTTAGATTTTATTATGTTTAAAATGCTTAAAAATCACGATCACCTTGTTACCTTCAAGAGAACCTCTGCAGCCCAGGGTTTCTTAACCTCCGCACAATTTACGCTCTGGCCTGGGCTCCGGACTGCCGGGCCGTCCTGTGTGTCGCAGACGTGTGGCAGCATCCCTGGCCTCCACCCGCCAGGTGCCAGGGGCAGCCTGCCTCCCAGCCCTGCAAGTCGTGCCAACAAAAATGTCTCCAGACATTGCCAAATGTCCTCAGGGGGGCAAAATTGGTTAAGAATCACTGTCATAGCCTAAAGTGGGCTAATACTAATAACTAATAGCAGCGCATACCTGCTTAGCACTATGCTAGCAGCTTTCCACACAGTTTCATTTAATCTTCAGAGCGCCTCTGTGAGGTAGGGCCTATTTGCACCTGCATTTTATGGATGCTTAGAAGGTATCTGGATCATCCAAGCACAGCAAAGACTTTCCTTTCCACGTGAGTGAGAAGAGAGGCAGTTAGTTCAAAATAACTTCTCCTGGAGGTGAGAGCCACAGGGCTGGACACTAGTCAAGGCAGGACTCAGCCCAGGTCTGTCTGCCCATGAGACCTGGCTCCTCCTCCCAGACCTGCCCACCTCCCCAGCACCACACCTTCATGCCAGCCCGGTCTCTACCTGAGAAGTTCCCCTGGACCTGCTAAGATCTGTTAATTACTCAAGGGCCAGGCAGAAAACCCTGTCCTGTTCTCCATGAAGGCCCCAGGCGGGCCACGGGAGGAAGGAAGAATTACTCCGGTGCAGTGCACACAGCCTGGGTGGCATATTTTGTCGTGGCTAATTGTGCAAGCTAACTGTCTTCTCCCTGCTAGCCTATCTCGGATCAGGGATATGAGGGTGGGGACTCTGGCTTGCCCTGCTTAGTAATGACAACTTGGGATGCCTTGCACAGAGCACTCGATCCCCAGATGTTTGTAGAGTGGAATGAAGTGAGCCAGCAGGCAGGTAGACAGATGTCATTCCCTCCAGGACCCCAGGCCCAACACTCACTGGACAGCAGGAAGCACAGTGCCTCTGGGCAGGCAACTGAGACACAGGTGCCCCTCTCCTGGGCAGCTGTGCCCCTCAGCACAGAACATGGCTTAAGGAGCAACACATGGGTGAACTTAGACCTCCTTGGCTGGGGCATCTGAGTGGCGCATAAACTCGAGGAACTGGTGGAGCTCAGGGCTTGCTTTGGTGCCTGTAATAATGGAATCCCCATGTTCTCTCTCACATGGTCTTCTAAGAGAGTGCGCCTGCAGGCATGTGCCACCGTGGGCGAGTGCATGGCATGCATGCGTGTGGGCAGAGAGGCAGGGTGGGCTCCTCTGGAGGGCCCAGATGAGCAGCAGCACTGAGGTATTGTTCATAGGCAGCATTCATGCATCTCTGTGCCATGACACCAGATGCCTCAAGGTCCAGGCACCCACAGGCATTCTAGAACCCTGAATAATGAAGTCCACCCCCTGCCCACACCCACACTGGTTTGAGGCAGGCGGCAGTCAGATCTCAGGCTCCCTTCTCCCTCTTTCCATGCTAGAGGACTGAGCTTGCAGGCAGAGGCCAGCATTGGGCCCCTGCCCCATCTCTCCCAGCAGTTGCCAGGCCCCACATCGCTGGGTAACTGCAGGACTAGGGAAGGGGGTCTCAGGGCCTAAGGTGGCAGGTGGCGGGCTGGGCTGGGCTGAGTTGCGGGAGAAGCACAGAGAGCCCAGCCACTGTCATTCCTGGTTCCCTATCGATGGTCAGCAGAGAAAGGCTTTCCTGACAAGATGTCATACTTTGGGATGAGTGGCTGGGCAGAGAAGACAGAAGACACAGGGGCTGGAGCCACCTGCAAGACAGAGCCAGGACAGTGCCTGTGGCTCATGTGAGAGTGCCCATGCGGGTGGTGCGAAGTGGGGGCTAGGCTCGGGAGGCGGCTGGAGATGTGAAGTATGCACAGCACGTAGCTGTACACCAACCCACACCCGAGAGTTTAGGCAGGAATTTTCCAGGGACGTTTCTGGCCTTACTCGGGCTCGCATGTATGCATGGTGTGCACATGTACATACCATGCTATGATAATGTGTGTCATATCTGTATCACCTGCTGTACACCCAGAGACCACGTGTATGTGGTTATCTCTGCCTTTCCAGAGGGTGCCCACCTCTCGGCCAAGCTTTAAACTAGCTGCGCACACACAGCATTCACAGCCCCTGGATTCCTCTACATTTGAAACAGACAAGGGGAAAAAAGGACCAAGAGACAAGAAGAGATAAAAATAGCTGAATATAAGCTCTTCAGATCAGAAAGCTCCCTGTTTTAGTGAGTCACTGGTTTTCCAGACTGAACATGCATGCACACACACACAAACCCCGCCAAGCCGCCAAGTCATGCCCGCCTTGCCAAAGATGCCCTCGATCTCGTGCATTCTTGTGCTTGGTCCTCAAGAGGTAAAATAACCCTCCAAAGAGGTGATTCTCTGGGCCTCTGCAGAATGTTCTGTCTTTGAGCTTAGAAGGCATGAGCCACTCCCCAGCCTCCTGCAAACACATATGCACATTCATCTTTCCCTTCCCAGCCTCTTCTGATTTCCTGACACCCCACCCCAGATGGTGCACATCTCACTCATTATGTATCTATATACCCGGATTTCCCCCCCCCCCCCCCCACCCACCCACCCCACCCACCTTGCAATGGAGCTCAGCAGGAAAGGGCTGGTCTTGTAGTCCTACTAAGGGATGTGCTGTGTTCTTCGGAAGGCCCTGGTGCTGGGGAGGTCAGGCAGCCTCTGCACAGCAGCTCTGGAGCTGGCCCCTGTGCTCTGGACGCCATGCAAGATTTATGAATGTGTTTTGTTAATTGCATTAGTGGCTCTGCGGGAGGATGGTGTGTGCTTTGGCCTTAAACAAGGTGAGCCCAACAGAGGCCTTGGCAGAGGAGACAAGACGACGGCAGCATGTACGAGCACCTGTGACTTCTGTGACCTTGGACTACCATGGTCCCCACTGCCTCTGTTCCTGACCCCTTGCTGGCACCAGGGCTCTGTCCTGGCCACCTGCGTTCTCGGTCTCCATTGTTGCTCCAGCTCACTCGGCAGGACCGCACTTGCTCTCCTAGTCTCCTCTAGATGAGAGAGGCCAGGCTGGCAGTCGGCTCTGAGAAGCCCACTCCTCTCTCTTCCTCTTTCTCCCCCTTCTCTCCTTCCTTCCCTTTCTCTCTCTCTTTCCCTCTAAGTCCTTTCCTCCATCCTCCACCTTTCACTCCTGTCTTTGTGAAATCCAAATCTGCTTTACTCTAAGCATTTAAATAACTCAGACCCCAAAGGCTCTCAGCGCCCGCTGCCCGTTTCCCATGCCGTGGTCTCCGGAGAGCGAGGGCGGCTGGCTGTGGCCGACCCTCTGTGCCTCTGGGCCCAGGCCCGGGGAGTCAGCTGGGCACTGTGTCCGGCACCTCTTCTGAAGGTGGGGGTGTGCAGGCATGCAAGGGGGAGTGGGGCAGCTAGAGAGGATTTTCTAAAATCCCCAGCAAATCCGAGGAGGGGCCGAAGGAGCCATGGGCCCAGCATACATCATGTGTCCCAGATTATAATGAACTCTCCAGAAGGTGAGCCCTGAGGCCATGGCGCCCACTTGCCTGGGGCTGCCCTCCTGCACGGCAACCCTGGAATCCTATTTCCTCTTCCTCAGCCGCTCTGTGCCCTGTTGTCTGGGCTGGGCCGAGGCTGTGGCTGTGTCAGGTGTGGGCTCTGCACTCAGGCCGCCCCAGGTAGAATCCTGCCCCGGCTTCTTGGCCCTGTGAGCTGACGTCTCTGGGCCTTCATTTCCTCAGCTGTCAAGGGAGTGATAACAGCAACGACACCTACATCGTAGGCTCCTTTTACACCCACGGCTGGAACGGTGTCCGGTGGCTGGTAATCGGCCCACAGTGTGGTGTCAGCAGGGACCCAGGCCAGCCCGCCACCCTCTCCACGCCTGCTTCCCCTCAGAACACAGGGAGGAGAGACCCTGTCCCCTTCCCAAGGGAGTTTCTGGGACAGAAAAGAGACCAGAGCTGAGATGCAGCCCAAGCCCGTGCCCTCCCTGCTCCTGTCTCGCCTGGCCTTTGCCCATCTGGGGGCTCTTGTCTCTGGCCCCACTTTCTGTCCCCCTCCGCCTGTGAGTCCTCTTCAGAGCTCTGGCCCAGCCTGCGCTGGACATGGGCAGAGAGGAGGCTATTTTTAGCCTCAGACAGAAGCAGCAGCTGTACAACCGCCTCTCAGAGCTCGTCTCTCCACGGGGGAGGTTCCAGCGAACAGCAAAGCCGAGGGGCAGGAAGGCTGTCCTGGCCAGTGCCCTGAGAGCCCCAACTTCCTCGCTTCCCTCCCCAGAAAGCAGCCCTTTCTGTCCCAAGAGGAGCTGCCCTCCCGCTCCTCTGTGCCCCCAGCTTCCTAATCCGCAGGGGGTTTAGCAGCTGAGCTGTGGAGGCTGCAAAGTAGGACAAGGAGGGGATGATCAAACAGACTCTATAGCAAGGTGAGGCGAGGTGGAGGGGCCGGAGCCTGTCCTGAGGCTGGGTCCTGCCTGGTCCTTGTCGGATTTGGAATTCTTCCCTATTCCCCCTGGGAACTCACACTCCGAGTTGCAGGCTCTAAGACAGTGGATTTTCCAGTCCGGCTCTGTTTGCAGAGCACTCTGATCACAAGGCAGTGAGCACGTAGGCTGTGCTTTGGTCGGCTGTGCCTAAAGCAGCAAGCTCCCAGCAAGCAGGTGCTAGGCAGTCGGGTGCATGGCACGAACTGCATCAGACCTGGACCCAGGGTTTGGCTGGACCTCCTTGATGTTCCCAGGGTGGTCACTCTTGAACAGTAGACAAAAAAGGTCCTGAAGCTCAACAATGAATTATGCAATAATTCTTACAGTTCTTGCATCAGGGCTCCCCTAATCGACAATAATTCTGTGGTTGTTGGAGACCAAGTAGGAGTGCACATGGGAAGAGAAGCACCTGTAGATTGTAAACTAATCAAGTTTATGTTTGCACCTACTATAGCCAGGCACTGATCTAGGCCCCCAGGATACCTTAGAGAGGCAAAGACAAAGACAAGAAATCTTCCCTCAAGAGACTTGCATTCTAGAACATAGATGCTCTTTCATATTGCAAAATATATACTCATACATCTAGGAAAAAATAATCCAACCCTTTTTGTCTCTGAATGCTGATAAGGTGCCTAGCAGCTGATTATCAAAATCTGATTTCTCCGGAGCCTAGATTCCTGATGCTTTAAGGCAATGATTTTTCAACCTCTTCCGTGTTGTGCATCTCTTTGCAGATCAGTTAAAGCTGTGAACCCTTCTTCAGAAAAATGTGCGGAACACAGACACTCAAAAACCTGCCCACAATTTGAGGGGCGATGAGCACCAGGAAGCTCATGTATGGACTTTGGGTTCAGCACCCCTGTTTTAAGAATGGGAAGCAGTTGCTTAGGCCTTCAATGATGAAAATATCACTGCATTTCCCGGCAGGAGCTATGCAGCTGAATTTTAATCACAGTGTTCTACCAGTGTGGATTAGAGGGAGCTGGCCACTATCAAGCCTTCTGAAAAATGTCTTAGACATTTTCTACCAACTGTAGAAAAACCCATTTGCAAAACTCCTAACCAGTTATAATCTTGATGTGTCCTCAAATGAGCTCTGTGACCTTGGGCAAGTCCCTTTCTTAGGGGTCTCAGCTTTCTTGTTTGGGAAGCAAGTGGGGCGGCTGAGACCCTGGAGGAGAGCTGAGGTCCCTCAACCCCGCGTGGCCTGAGTCTCTGCCTCGCTGCTACACAGGTGCGAGTGCATCCTCTACTGTGGGGCAAGGGGGAGAGAGCGCAACCTGGGGTGCTGCTGCTCTCACAGCAGGTGGGGTGCCACCCTGGCTGCGCTCCTGCCCTCCCAGACCTCTGACTCACTCTTCGCACTGCGGCTGAGGCTGATGGCTGGGCCAGGCTGCAGAGGCTGCAACTGGGCTTCAGGATCTAACATCCTGTTCTGTGATTGAAGCTAGGCTGCCTTTGCTCTGGCAGAGGTTGCAGCCGTATAAATCTCAGTTCAAGGAGGGAGGGCTCCGCACAGCCAGAACACCCGGAGACAGAGGAGAAGTGGGGTCTTCTGTGCAACCGTGGACGGCCTCCCCAGGCTGCACGGCCTAGTGTGGGTGTGTAAGAGATCTCTGTTCCTTGGGACTCATGGCACACGTCTGGGAAGGGGTGCTAAAGAGAGCCAGGGCCACCCTGCTCAGAGGAGACCTGTCCCCACCAGTGCTCTGGTTGGGGCACCTGCTTGGAGGATAGCGAAAGGGAGAGAAGGTGGTCTATCTGCTCTGCGGGCTGGTGGGCTGCTGCCCTGCACTGCTCTCAGGGGACTGGACTGGGCAGTGCCTCGTGTCCCCCCAGTTTTTAAGCCTTTCTGCCAGCCATGGTTTTTACACAAATGGAGTGGGCTCAGGGTTTGGTGCTAGGACTGGGTTTCAGACATGGGGGCGTTGGGGTGGGGCTGGACACTTCAGGCTCCCAGTGAGTGTCTGCTGACTCCAAGTCCGTCCTTTGGAATCCATGCCACCTTTTTCTTCCGCTTTCCCTGGGCATCCTTAGCATCTCCAGGCCAGAATTTAAATTTTATTAGCAATAATTGATCTGCTCAGAGCTGAGGTTTCTCCTGGGTCCTCTGCGGAATTGGAAGGGGAGTGGATGAAGATGGAGGTGCTGCAAGGTGGCACAGGCTTTGCCGGCACTGCCGGCGCCTGTCGTAGGTAGGAAGGCCCTCTGAGAGTCCCTTTGACAGGAAGACAGAGAAGCAGCTGAGTTAGAGTTCTCGTGGGGAGCTCCAGGAACCCCCTTCCTACAATTGCTGCTCTAGTTCTTTACACACTCACCCATCGCTATACAGTCCATGCTTGTGCACACAAACCCATGAGATACATGTCACATACACATTCTTGAAACTGTCTGTATAATTTTTCTTTTACAGGCACCTAGAAATATATTAATATGTACAGACCCTGCTCATACCTCCACATCCTCATCATCCTTTTCTATCCTTCATGTACATGCATTTGCTGTCAATGTATATGTTACTGTACACAGTTTGCTCAAACTCATGCATATACCCCTTCCCAGCACATCCTAAGAAACACACAATGCATGTATGTATGAGGTGTGTACATACCTAAAAACAAAATGCACACTCTGCACACACCGTGCACACAGGAACAACTGCCTTCATATGGTCTGTACATACACACGTGGACCAACCCCTATCCCAGGCCACACTCATTGGCACCAGGCCATGCCTCTGCCTGCCCCAGGCCCACATGCCAGGTGACAGCCCATTCCATCACACAGTTGTCCCACTCTCCTTCCCTCTTCCTCCCTCAAGCAGCTGTCGTGGGTGGAACCCCTGCCCTACTCACTGCCATGTCCCTTCACTTTGAGTGGAGCAAGTGCAGTGGTGTGAAGTAGGGGAGGATTGGGGCAGTAGGCCTCTGGGAGCATGGGCTGTCAGCTTAGCTGGGTTTACAATAACATATTTTGCTCATTTATTTTTGTATCCCTTCACATGCCTCGTGAGACTTTCTATAACCATATACTCAAATCCTGCCTTAGTTTCCTCATCCATAAAATGGGTTAAAATACCATCTGTTTTGTCTCCATCATGGCAACGTTATGGGAATCAAACTTGTTGTGTAACAAAGCAGCCTGAAAAGTATCGTATGCATGCTAATGTAGGCTATTAGGGCAGTTTGTTTCATGTATTGAGGGCTGATAAAGTTAAGGCACTTTCCTGGTACCAATTGGCCCTAGTGCTGGTCTTGCTAAGAGGCCCTTGGTCCAGGGCTCAGCGAATCAAAGTAGAGATTTCAATCCCAGGCCCTCCCTTCTTCCTGCTAGTGTCACTCTCATGTCCTAGACATATCATGGCCCCAGAGCTGAGAGGGCCCTGGCACTGAGCTGAGCACCTGCCCTGGGCACTGGCACACAGGGGCTTGGCTCCCAGGCTGCCAAGGGCTTGCACCTGGGAAAGCTCCTCTCTGCTCCTGGCCACTGGGGCTGTGCCAAGCAGCTGAGTCCAAACAAGAGGTCTGTGGTGTGGTGAGTTTCACAGACCAGGCCAGTCTGGTTCTTGCAGCTGTGCTACCCCTGGGTAGGTATGGGGCTGCCTGAGGCAACCCCCAATAGTACCTTCATGTCTAAAATGGGCAGAGGAAGAGTAGATTTTTGCCTAGCCCAGAGACCTCAATGCTTCCAGCCAAGGTGGCTTATATAGGCTAGGGTAGTCCTGGAGGAGGGGAGGCAGGAAGCTGGGACCAATGCCAGCTTTGGGAAGAGGCCAGCAGCTGGCACAGGGCTGGCTTATGTCCAGCATGAGCATGTGAGAGGTGAAGGGACCATTCTGCAGGAGGGCTGGCTGGCATTGGGGCTTAGAACAGGCTCAGATTCAGCTCAAAGCCTTTATTCCATTAGCTTAGCAGGGACAAACCCAGAGTGTGCTTATCTCCCTGTTACTCCTCCCTGGAGCAGTATTCAGAGAAGAAATTTCAGTGGGACACCTGGTTCTTGGCAGAGCAGATGAGCATTTCTGGACCTGCTGGGTGAAGGGGAAAGGCTGTGGCTGGAGAACCAGGAAACTGGGCTCCCACAAAACCTGCGGGCTCCCCTAAGTGAACGTGGGAACCAGAGTGGATGGGGTGGACGAGGTCCCCGGTAAGCCCATCCCCTGCCTGGGCCCTGCTTTCTGCAGAGAGTGACTCTGGGTGACCCTCCCCCTTCTCCAGCTCTGCGACAGCACCAGGTTTCCAGCAGGGCTGGCCAGGAAGCGGTGGCAGAGAGAGAGCTGGGTAGACGGGCCCAGAAGCCGACTGGTCTGGGGGTGGAGCCTGAAACTCCGCAAAGCTGCAGCCTGGCTCCACCCCTTCCCTGCCTGGAGCTCAAAGGGATGACATCACCCAGACTGAGGGCTCCAGCCTAGATGGGCTGGGTGAGTGGGGGAAGCCAGCACCTGCAGGGCTCAAGGACTTCCTAGGTTTGCATGCAGCAGTCCCCACTCTTCTCCTGAATCCGATTCAGCATTAGGGGGCCCTGCTCTGGGGACTTGGGATGGCACCTGGCTATTCAGACTTCCAAGCCTGGGACTACGTTTATCCCACCAGAGACCAGTCCCCTGGGCAACTGGCATAAGCACTATTTCCTTCCACCCTGCCAAATGCCTCTTCTCCTTGCCAACACTGGCGCAGCCTCATTTTTCGGAGGCGCCATGGAGAAGGATTAGCTCACTAACTCTGACCAGGCAGCAGTCAGCTCACAGCAAACCTAGTGCCCCCCTCCCCGTGGGCTCATGCCCCCTCCCCCACCAAAACCCTACTGGGTGCTTGTGTTGCCTGCTTGCAAAGCATATGCTTGGCTGGTTGCTTGGTGTCTGCTGTTTATCCGTCTCTTCCTACTTAACTTCTGTTTCCACTTGGCCCATCTGGCTCCCATGGTACCTGTCTTCCACTGGGGTTGCGCCTGCGCTCGATACTGGTCTCCCCCTCCCCCCTCTTTCCCTCCCCTCCTAGGGCTTGGCTCTTGTCCACTCTGGGGCCACAGCAGCAACCCCTGGCCTTGGGTGCAGGCCCAGTGAAGGACTGCCCCAGGCACAGCCAGGACCCTGATGTTGGGGTGTCCCTTCAGTGTTTTGGGGGTGCCAACAGGGGTCAGGGATTGAGGGGGCTGTGGAGAGCAGCGGGGGAGTTGCCTTCGCACTCGGGGAGGGCTACATCCTGGTGGAGACCTTCCTCTCTCCAGGCCTTTCTGAGCTTCCTTCCCAGAGGGAATTCTTGGGGTGGGGGCAGCGCATCAGAGTCTTGCGGATGCTGCTCTCCATGGCAGTGATAAGTGATAGGAAAGTGGGCAGGAGCTGGACAGAATGAGGCCAGGGAAGTTGCAAGGCTCTTCCGACCCAGGACGCAAGGCCCACTCAGCCCCTCCCACTCAGAAGAGGCTGTGGCAGTCTGGTGACTTGCGTGGGGATGAGGGGCTGCAGACTCTTACAGCCAGGGGAGAAAGGGGGTCTGGCAGCTGTTTGCCAGCAGTGCTGCCGGGGACCAGTCCCCACCCCCCATGTCCTAGCCTCTTGGTGCTAGGCCCCATGCGGTGCAAGACGTTTCTTCCCCTCCCACCCCTCCCACAAGCGTGCACACCCCTGCACATGCTCCCACCCTGGGAAGAGCTAAGCACGCTGTGCAGTGGCTCACACTCACCCCTCCAACGCAGCCTGCTTCCTTCCGGCGTGATGTAGCAGCTCATGGCTTCCCTGGGATTCACGAGGCCTCGGGATGCAGACAGAGCAGGTGGGCGGAGCCCGGATGAGGATGGAAGGGAGAAAGGGGGCTCCCAAGGGGCAGGGCTGTCATGTGTCTGCCTCTCTGGCCCCGCTTGTTCCTCCAGCCTGAGGCTGGCTGCCGAGGAGCCTGTGCTGGGCCTGGAGTCAACAAGGATGCACGTGCTCGGGGCCATCAGCTGCTGCTCCCGTGGAAGCATCTGCTCCCACGGAATCCGCAGGGCTTGGCTGCCAGGCCTCGCTGTGTGCCCACTCCGTGGCTCTGTTCTCTGTCTCTGTTGTTCCATCTGCCTGCTCCACCGGCTGCCTGGCTCAGCTCCTCTCGGCCTCTTTATTTCTCTCCCAGAATCTTCTTCTTGCTCCTCCTTGCTCCCGGTCCCGTCTCCCTGTCTCTGTCCAACCACGGTCATGCCATAGTCCCTGAGGTCTCCTGTCCTCCTTTGTCCTCATGCATCATTCTCCCTTTGGCTTCTCTGCAGTTCTCCTCCATGTTCACATTCTCTCCCTGTCTTCTCATACATATTCAGTGGCTCCTTAAAAATTCACCTAGATGATTCTACATATAAAAGCCTAGAGCTGCTGCTTTAGGAATAAAACTTCTTAACCTCTAACTCTAGGACCCTGCCTTAGACCATGGTCAGATCAATTGTCTAGAAAATGTTGGCAAACCCACCTACCTTTGCGAGGCCTCCCTTTCTGACCTGGGGCAAGACAGCTGGAGGTGTCCAGGCACACTGCCAGGCCACATTGCCCCAGACAGGCGGCACTGGGGGCAAGATGGGAGCTTCTACCCTTAAAGGAAACTGGGGAGTTCAGTGTTCAGTAAACTTAGGGTCCAAAGTGTCTTAGCCCCTTGGTGCTTTCACAATCCTTTCCCATTCGCTCTATTATCCCCTTACGACTCCTAAAGGAGGGTCATAAACAAAGAAGCTGTGGTGTCACCTAGAAGTCACTCTGCCAGTGCCGCCCAGCATTTGACAACAGAGCAGGAATCAGAAGCTTGGCTCCTGGATTTTTCAGCTCTTGACTGTGGCAGGTGGATGAACTGAAAGGGTCTGCAAAAGCATGGAAGGTGGCAGTTGAGGGACAGGAGGGGTGAGGAGCAGAGCAGAGCAGAGCTGTGGCCTCCCCCGCCACCCCGAGGGAGCGGAGTGGTGGAGGAAGGGGAAGGGCCCTGTTGCCAGCAGCCCTTAGTTTCACACTGACCACCAGGCAGGACAGGAGGACAGGCCGCTGTGTCTGCTTGTCTTCGCAGGCTAACTCACCTGTCACTCCCTGGCCCCTGTGGTTTCTCCATCTCCTTTCTCTGCCCAGCTGGCCTTGTGGTTCCCTCTCTGCTTTTTTCTCTCTCCTTTCTGCCTGTGGGTCACCTGTCTGCTTTCCCCTACGTCTCTGGGGTCCAGGCTTTGCTCTGCCCCACGCCTTTACCTCTCATTGCTCCCTGTCTTGGTATTTGTCTTCTCTCTGCCAAAGGAGCCAGTGTAGGCTCAAGGCAGCCAGGAAGTGGCGGGAGCAGGTTCATGTGGGATGGACTGGAGCTGGTCTCACATGCCTCCCCCAAAGCTCCTGACTCTGGTCTGAGCCCAGGGGCTCCGGAGCACCTATCCTTGATGAACTGTGGGCACTGTAGGCTCAGCCCTCACCCAGTGCACGCCTGTGGCAGGCTTGCTCTCCAGCCCTTACAGACTCACGCAGGGCCTCATTCTGGGATCCTTCAGCAGCCGTGGAGTCGACAGATCTCCTTTCCTTCCGGGAGAGCTCCTGACCCTTCCCTCCCTGCCCACGCGGCCAGCCAAAGATGGCGGGTCAGCCTGGAGACTGCGCCGCCAGCTGCTTCCTAGCTTCTACAGGAGGCTCCTGGGCCAGTGTCCTAATTTTTTCTTAATTTTTCTTTGTTATTTCTGTCTAGGAGAAAAAAATCAACCCTAGGAAACCCTTAAAAACACACTACATGTTTTATACTCAACATTCTACCACAGAGGAATCTAATGTCAGTCTGGGACACTTTGCCTGGTCCTCAGGTGGGGAGTGGGCACCAAAGCACCCCATCTCTCTTTCGCCTGTTCTCCTTCCTTTGCTGAGCCCCTCATCGTGCCTTGAGCTCTGGGCTCTTGTGCAGTATAAGGAGACAGGGAGAGCTTGAGTTGTGAGCCTCCCAGGCCCTCCCTGGCTACCAGATCCTGGTGGCACAGGTGATGTGACATCTTAGGGGAGTGGTGAACTCAGCAGGGAGAAGGAGCTTCTCCCTCTAATGTCGCAGAGAAGCTGAATGCGCGTGGTTAAGTCCCAGCTTAGTTCAGCTGGGCTCAGCTGGAAGGGTTTGGGCCATGCACAAATCCCTCCAAGCTTCAGGTTCTTATGTGTAAAGAAGGAGCAATAATAACCCTATCCCACAGGATGGTTGAGAGGATTAAATGAGAAACTGTAAGTGCAAACCCTTCGTAAACTATAAAGAGCTCTAGAGAAGTTATTATTTGTGGAGCAGGTGTGGCGTGCTTAGGTGCCGGGACTAAAGGGGGAAAGGAGGCAGCCGGCAGCACCTGCCCCCGAGAGGCCTCTGAGCGAGTTCTGAGGAAGATTCAGGAGCGCAGGGACAACAGGAAGCCCAGGGCCCTCAGGAGGGGAGGAAGGCCAGCTCCAATGCCACATACCCTCCAGCTCTGGCACCATCGTTTGCTGGCACCAACACTGCTGGTATGTCACATCTTCGACTCCTTGCATTGGGTGACAGAGATGCAGGAACTAGGTTGACATATCCAGGTACAAAGGTGAGGTCCCGGCAGGAGAAGACATGGCAGGTGGGTCTGCAAAGCAGGTACTGAGGTCTGGAGCAGCTTGATTTCCTCTGTGGATGAGAAGGTAGAAGACAGGATCACGGCTCAAAGACAAACACTGAAAACATGGTATCACTATAAAATCAGCAACTAAAGGCGGTAAAAGAAGCGTTAAGACATGAAAAGCCATTTAAAGATCCTTTAGTTTCCCCACTGCATGAGGGCAGCAGGTTGCCTTTAATGGTCCCGTCTGTGTGCTATCCTTGTGGAATTGAAAGTTCCTCTTGGACAAGGACCTTGTCATTTTGGATTACATTTCTGTGCGGTGCCTTGCAGACACATCCACTTGATACATATTACTTGACTGAGTGATTGGAAAAGAGCAGAACAAAGAGAGAAGGAAATAAGAGGTGAGCTGTTTTTATGTAACCCATTGTGTAGGAGACCTGAGTGTCCCCGCTTTGGTGCTGACTGGGGCACAGTTTAAATGTGACTTCCCTCCTGAGAAGAAAAGGAGTCGTAGCACCAACAAACCACCAGCCTTGTCCTCTTTATGTTTTGGCAAGGTCTGGATAGGATGGGAACATGGGGCTGTCAGGGGTGGAGGGTGTTGTTGGGTCAGGGCAGGGTGTGGATAGATTTAAGGAATTAGCTCAGAGAAGCAAGATATTAATGGAATATTAGAATGGACTAGTTGGTTCAATTATTACAGGAGAGCAAACTGAGGACCAGAAAGGCTAAGTGGCTTGTTCAAGCTCACACAGCTTGTTGGCAGCAGACCTTGGAACAGAACATAGATCTCCCAGTCCTGAGCTCTTCCCGTGACTACAAACTGCCTCCTAAGAACTGATCGAAAAGAGGACATAACACCAAACTCAGGCTGAGCATGAGGTTTCCTTCTGGCATGAAGTAGGAAAGCCAGACTGAGGTTGAGAGAACCCATCCCAGAGAATGGAAACAGCATACTGAGGGCACATGCTTTCCTGACCCCCGCTTCCCCCATGATCCCAGCAGGGACCGTGGATGCCACAGCTTCCCCAGGGAAGGAGAGGTCAGAGAGCAAAGTGTGGAGAGGTCACACCCTACATCATGTCTGGGGGGGGACTGAGACCCCATCTCCAGTATCTCTAATGACCCCTCTTTGGCACTCAGAGTTGGAGAGAACCCTACCGTCTTCTCTTCTGTCTGTAGTTGGGGAAAGAGCTGGGCTGAGAGCCGTGTTCTGGCTTCTGGCTTACTGGCTCTGAGTCCTGCTCTCCTGCTTGGACTGAGCCAGGAGGGTAAGAAGAATGGGAAAGAGAAATAAAAATAGCTGCAGGATGAAAGATGTCCATCTGCTGTGTGGGCAAGGGAGCCCTGAGGAGGAAGGTGGACCATTTGGGTTCATAGCTAAGAGGCTGAACTGGGGGTTCTTGGCTTTGACAGGCCATGAGGAACAGCCAATATCTGTGGGAGGTCAGAGGATAGGATAGAAATGGTATGGATTTTGGAACCAGTTAAGTTTGGGCTTATGTCTTCTATGGTCTGATTCAAGTTACATAAACTGTCTGAACTTAGCTTCTCCCTCCATAACATGGGGTGATAGTACTATCGACCTTATAGAGTTGAGATTAAACAAACAAATAGACTAGAGTTCTGAGAACATAGTAGATGCTTCCAAACACTGGTTCCTTTCCCTTCCCTTATTCCAGCTGGCCTTGCCGCCTCCCTTTGCTCCCCTAGCTGCTCAGAGCACAGCTAACCTGGCAGCCTCCCAGAGAAGCACTCTGGCTGTTTTAGCAGCAGAGGGTCCAGAGTGTCCCTTGAGAAGCTCCCTGGGAGTCACCATCAGACACCTGGAGCTCTGGGTCACATAGGACATCCCTCTTTTTTCTATATGTTTTTAAGTAACTATGCAAAGTGGTCCCCCTGGTAGATCGTGGGGTCCTAAAGCAATTGGGGTGCTGCTCCAGGAGCAGGTGCGGTGGATGTGCAGCTGGGGAGGGCACCTTTGGCCGCCGGGCCCTGACCCCCACAGCCCCACACTGAGGAGCTTGCTGCAGTCTCAACCTGTGAACAGGCCACATCCACACAGCCTTGCACCCCTCTGCTGTTTGCTGGCTCATCAGTGAGAGAGGAGATTTGTAAGCAGACAGGTGTAAGTTCAAATCTCAGCTTTACTACTTTCCAGCTGCATGATTTGGGGCAAGTAGTTTGACCTCTGCAAGCCTCCATTTCCCCTTCTGTAAAAAGAGGACAATACTTCACTGGAAAATTTGCTTTGAAGATTAAGTTGAGATAGTACAACGTTTAATCTCCACTCAATGAATGACAACAAGAACGGTGCTTTTAGAGAATGATAATGTTTAATAGCACCTACAACCAGTGAACTGGTGGTCTTGAGACGGTGGCAAGGCCTCAATGTGCTTCTTTAACCTCTGACTTCATCTACCTTTTAACCACATTTAAACTAGAATCTCTCACCCTTACAACCTCTCCCCGTTAGCCTGAGTGAAAACCCGGAGTCACTGCATCTAGAGGTAACCAGGTGTCACCTGGCTGCTGGCTTACCTGGGACATAACCAGCAGGGTGTCCTCCTGGGACGAGGCTTGGCAAGGAGATGGAGCCCACAGGCAAGGTCCCTGCAGAGAGCAGGCATCTCTGTGTTGGGGCTGTTACCCCAGTGGTGGGCCCTCTGCCCAGGAGCTGGCTCAGACCCATCCCGGGGTGGGGGGCCTGCTTAGTGTGGGACACGTGACCACTGCTTTGCCCTCTGTGGTCCTTTGCCCATCACCACAGACCCTTTCACACCTCAATTAGCCACTTAGGGAGGTGAAAGCGCAAGTGCAAGCGGGGAAGCTGTCCAGGCCGTGATGAATAGTTTCCCAAGCCTGCCGTTGCCATGGCAGCCAGCTGGGAACTCCGCTTCCAGGGCCTAAGGCGCTCAGACGAGCAGGGGGGTGCTGCCCTACTGGGCTGCTGCCCACTCTCCTTCCCCCACCCTGGCCTCCTGGCTCCCTTAGCAACAGCCATTGCCATCGCCATCGCAACCACCGCGGCGGCTTCTGCGCTGGCAGGGGCAGTGTCCAGGGAAGCTGGGGGGTGTGCGTGTGCGGGGAGCAGAGCCTGGGTATGAAGTTGAAAAGGAAAAGAAAAGGTTCGGCAATCTTAGCTGTGGTAATACTGATAAGATTGTAAGGATCCTTCCTGATTACCTAGAAAGGGGCTCGGAAACTTGGGCTCCGGCGGACCTCTTGGTGAAGTGGTGTCAGTCCCTGAACTTCCAAGAACACGCCTGTGCGTCTGAGTGCTATGTGAATTTTTCTGCAGAAGTGGTTTATAGTTTTTATACAATTCTTAAAGATGACTAAGAACCTTAATTACAGAGTCTTCTGCTTTTCAGAATCAGAATTATCTGAAGGATTGGCTGATCAGGTCGGCTTGAGAGATGTGGTTAGAAAAGGAATGATTGCCACACAGAGTAGGAGCACATGGCGTGCTTCCCTGGTGCCTGCTCCGACCCACAGCGCCCCCGGATCTAGCCTGTGCCCCACTGTGGGAGCAGTCTTCCTGGCATGTGAGCACTCTCCACACTACCCCATCTAACCCTCACACGACTCTGTGGGGAAGGCTCTCTGATGAGGATATAGGAGCAACAACAAACTTCAAGGATTGGCTCAAGTTCACACAGTCAGAAGCTGGAGAAGCTAGGGATAGCTTAGTGGCGTGGTGGAGTCTGGCTTTGCTGTACCCTGTTATAACAGCTGGGTGATCGGCCTCCACTCCCACAGCTGCAAATGGATAACCCCTGCCTCAAAGGACAGTTGTGGGAGTTAAATGAGTTGAGATGATTTGAAAAGTGCTTAGAACAGTGTCTGTCACCAAATAAAATGGAGTTACATAGAGCAGGAATCACCCATGGGGCTGCCTAATTCTAAAGCCCGGGTATATACACAGAGGGTTTGGGGAGGTGTTTCCCGACCCTAGTGCCAGGCCTGGGTCATGACACGATGAGAAACACAGCGCTGCCACTTACCAAGTGAGTGTGTGTGAGCCGTGCCGGTGTTTCGAGACTCAGTTTCCTTATCTGTAAAGAACACCATGTTTTCCCAGAGGATGGTTGTATGGTTAAGTAATTGCTGTTGAGCACATAGAGATGAAGTGAAACGGCACCGGGGAAAGTTCTTTGTAAGCTGCGCCATGCTACAGAGATGCATTTAAGACCCTGGCGCTGAGTCCCAGCTCACGCCCTGGGGGCTGAGTGCCTGCCCTTGGCTGGCAGCTCAGGGCAGGGAGCCCAGGGTGATGTCCCGAGGAGGGCAGACGGCATGGTGCCTTTGGGGACCCACGTGCCTGGGTCAGCAGCCAAGAGGAGGAAGCTTAGGAATTCCACAGGGGCAGCTGGGCCAGGCCTCCTGGCAGGGGTGGGAGGGAGGCAGAGTGGGACGTGAGGGGAGAGGGCAGGCGAGCCACGGAACGCCCTCCAGGGGAGTCGCAGGGCCATGCCCGGTGCTGGCACCCTTCTCTACAGGATGAATAATTAGTAGAAATGAGAACAAGCTTTATTAGTCACTGCTGGGGAGAAACACAACAAGGTATTATCCAATCAGCTAATGGCGGGGTTCATGGTTCTCTATAGGCTGCTGGAAGGGAGGGATTTCACATCCTCTTTTCTTTTTGCCCCCAGAAGACTCATGATGTGGAGAGCAGATGGTGAGGGGGAAGAGGGTGGGTCCTTATTCTTGAGTCACTTGGCTGCCAGGGTACCTTTTTGGGGTTCGGGGAGGTGTAGCATGTACCCAGCGTCTTGGACAGATAGGCAGCCTGTTGGAAGGGGGCGAGGGTCAGACAAAGGAGGCGTCCCTGGGAATGACTCGTGCCCAGTGGGAGCCATAATTGGAGGTGATTAATCTGTGGAGGAGAAGCCACTGGGAGTCATTGCTGACTCAGGGCGGCCGCTCCCCTCTCCCACCTCACCTGCCTGGCTGGCAGGGAGGGGGCTGCTGGGAAAGTGAGTGAGTCAGCAGCAGTTCAAAGGCAGCTGGCAAGCTCCTGAGCCTCCCAGTCAAAGGCTTGTTCCTTAACCCTTTCCTTGTCTAGTGGGAGTGTGAGGAGGTCGGGTCTTCTCCAAGAGCCAGGGGCAGGGGGCTGGGTGCCGCCCGGCCCTGACACGCGGAGCAGCGGCGCACCGGCAGCCGTGGGGCGAGGAGCTCCCGACTGCAAAGGCTGAGCACTGTGCCTAGTTGAGGAGCTGGCTTTCCACCCGGAGTGGCCCTCAGCGTGCTGGCCGGCAGCCCGACCTCTCTGGACTGTACAGGGGTCGCAGGTGCCACCTCACGGGGCTGGGAGTTTCCCACAGAGCTGGGACTGGAGCTGGGACAGGGAAGCCAGTGCCCATCCCAGCAGAGGCCACACCGATCATCTGCCTGAAAGGAACAGCATTAACTTTTCTTCTCCATTTCAAAGAGAAGTGAGAAAACCGACCGTTCTGAAGAACCAGCTTGGATTATGTGAGCTGGGAACAGCACCATGAGTGACATGAAGAAGAAAATCGCCAAGGAGCATATCTACGGTACATATCTAATCAAAGAGGCTGTTTTATTGTGGAAGCCAACCTTGCCTCTTTGGGGAAGGTGCCCAAGGGCACGTATCTTGAAAACGCCCAGTTAGCTTTTGAGGAGACCTAGGTGGCTCTATTTTCTATTTTGGCTGCAGGGTCTTAGAAATTAGCAGTCAGCGCTGTGGGCATCAAAGAGAGCTGAGTCTGGAACAGTCAAGACAATCTGGTCTGGCCGCTTTCATGGGGTCTCTCTGGGGGAGGATGAGTGGCCTGCTTCAGTTGGCCAGGGCTACATCTTGGATGTATTCCATCAAGTGCCCCATCTCCAGCCCAGGCAACACCCAGCGTATGCCTTAAAAATTCTTATTCATTTTCAACTTTTCTTTATCTCAAAGGAGAAGTAAGAAAACTTGACCAGTAAGAAGAATGAGGTTTAGATTTTGCACGGTTGCCAGATTGCAAAAGTGAGATGAAGGGTATGAGATGCAAATGGGCTGAGTTAGGGAATGTCGCTTCTTTGCCCTCAAGGACATCCGAGCCAGAGGCAGCACATGCTCCCTGACGGAGCAGAGCTCCCTGCTGCCCAAGGTGCCTGTGAGGACCCACAGTTGGAGCTGGCCCCCCTTGGGGGCTGGGACTCTGCCAGGCTCACCCTGTGATGCTCTGTGTCCATCCCCATGTTCTTGTTTTTTTCCCTCCTGCCCGATACCGCCCCAACCTCCTGACTGTGCCAGGGGCTCTTGCCATGGCCCGGCATGTTCACTAGGTGCAAAAAGTTTATGCAGAGCTTCCCACCCATCCACCAGTGTTTGTTATGAAATTGGGAAAAGCAAAGGTCATTTTTCTTACGAGTGTCCCTTAGCAGGTCTGGGTTTGGGGCCTGTCAGAATTCTCTCCTGCAGACTACATCCAGAACATTCCACCAGCTGTGAGAACTCTGAGACTCAGGATGATTTAACCATCGGATGGGGTAGCCAAGTAACCAAGACTTTCATCAAAGAGATCCTCAGAAATGAAATCCCAATTCTTATGTCCCTCCTGGCGGGAGGGGCTGATGGCCTTGAAGCACCTGTCCCAGCTCCGAGGAGCCCAGTCCTTCTCCAGAGTCCTGCTCCTCACAGGCTCCCAGCCTCTACCAGCCGCAGAGCAACAAACAACTCTCTCCTGTGCAGCCTCCTCCCCACTTAACGTGAAGCTTCTTGCCACGTGGTGCCTGGACAGCGGCAGTGAGCATGTAGATGGAGCTGCCATTACGGGGAGAAGATAACCGTGGCATCCAGCTGGCCTCTTCCAGGGCCAGCCCCGCCACTCAGCAGAAGAGGTGGGGAAGAGTTTTAACAGGAGATTTTATCAAAAGTTCCTCTCCCCACGGTCCCCAGCACACACGTAGGAGCAGAGAGGAAAGAGGGACAGCGCTAGGTGGCAGAGGCTGCCAGCCTTGCTCTGTTTCCTCCTGAATCTAGCGATCAACCCGTGTTGGGCCCTAGCCCTGGCCTCCCCTCCTGAAGGGGTTCCATTGTGCATCCTCAATTTGTGACTTGGGGTTCTCCTCGAATCCACCTACTTTGAATTTCTACCACAACCGGATCTTTGCTGCATCTTGTCACTACAGTAAGGCTTTAAGTTCCAGTGTTAGTCCCAGCGGGTGGGGCACAGGATCACACTCGGGCTAAGGGTGTGAGGGGCAGTAACCACAGAAGCACAGACTTAGATACACATATGGGATTCCAGAATAGCAAACTGATGCCTTGTGAGATGAAATGGTCCCTCAAGGATCCTGCTCAGTGGCAGAAGAGCAGGAATAAAACTCAGGTCGTCCAACTCCTAGCCCTTCCTGTTATTGTTGAAGCCTTCTCCCTGCAGAGAGCTCCCTGGGAGCTCTGCTGACACTATGATGCACGACAGCAATCTTGTCCCTCAATTATCTCAAACTCTTTGTTAGGCAACCCGAGCATAGCCCGAGGGTCATGGGCGTTCTGGGTCTGCTCTGGCCTGAGAGCACAGGGAAGACACATAGAGGGCCCCTTGCCATGGAGTGTTCACCTGGACAAACACCCCCCGGGTCACAGCAGCCTTTGCAACCTTCAAAACTCTGAGTGAAGTCACAAAAGTCAAACCAGTCATTTTCTCTTTCTCTTTGGTTTCCTACATTCCGGGTGGCTCGTGATTTTCCTAGTGACTTAGCATTTTTTGCACTTGGACTTGTCATACTCACTACTCCCACAGCTGATCTTGAGCCTGCTCCCTCCCTCCCAGCACTGCCTCCACTGGGGCCTCCTCCACTCCACCTGCTGCTCCTTTCCACGCACTGGAAGGCCCAGGAGAAATTGGAAGCCCAGGGGTGAGTTGGACATCTCAGCAGACCAGACATCTGCTGCCAGTGTGAGCAATTCTGTATATATCCAACGAACTGCATTGCATACCTGCTGTGTGCT